CTGGCGCAAACCATTTGCAGCATTCTCCCCTGGATTTCTTTGGCCTACTGCTTGTCGCAACATCGTAGTCTTCATCATCGGTTGAATGATACAATTTTCGCATTTTCTTCGTTCTGGATATGTCGCTTCCCGAATCGCATGGTTCAACAGGTTTTTTTGCGGCCTTGGGCTGTGGCGCACATACTGGCAGAGGTAAAGGTGCTGCCACTGGCACAGACTTTGCCTCTTTATTGCCTACCACCATGGGTTTGTTAGCTGTGGGGCTTGCCAGATGTCCTTCGCGCTCATCATCCGAGGAAATATACACTTTTCGAGCTTTTTTCTCTCTAGAGAGGTCACTTCCTGAGTCACATGTTGCCAGTGGTACAGGCGCTGCTACAGGCGAAAACCATTTGCAGCATTCTCTCTTGGATTTCTTAGTGCTGAGGGCTTTTGCACCTATCTCGTCTTCATCATCGGTGGAGTGATATATTTTCCGGGTTTTTTTCTCCCTAGATATGTCACTACCCGAGTCACATGGCTCTGCTGGCTTTTTTTCTGTCTTGGCTTTTGGGCCACAAATTGGCAGAGGTATAGGTGCAACCACTGGCGGTTTGCTGGTCTTCGTTTCTTTAGTGCCCAGCACCATGGGCTTATTAGAAGTACGGGTTGTTATATGTCGGAGACCTTCTTCATCGCTGGTATGAACCTTTCTCTTTCTAGATACCGGTCCAGATAGCTCGCTTACAGAATCACAAGTTTCTTGCTTCGACTTTCGCGGGAATCCTATGGGCACTGGGGCAGCTATTGGCACCGGTGTAATCTTTGAGTCTCTCCTGCCTTGTGCCTTAGATTTTTTCGTACGTTTATCACCTTCTTCATCGGAATGATCCTCTTTTTGCAATGCTTTCTTTTTTGTTACCCCTCCAGATAAGTCACTGCCAGAACCACAACTCTCTTGCTTCGATTTTCGCGGCATACCAAGAGGCAGTGGCAGGCTTCTTCGCGCAGGCTTAACCTTTGGCTCCTCAGCTTCAGGTTCTTTTGCCGGTACTGGCATCATTTTTGGCTCCGCAACTGCTATTGGCTCTGGCTCTGGCTCTGGTATTGCAACTGGTACTGGTATAGGCGCTATCGTTGGCTCAGGCACTGGCGTTGGCTCTGGCTTTGTCAATGTCATTGGTACATCACAGACACACTCACACTCCACCGGAGTTTCAGTTGGCTTAGCCTCGGCCTGTGCCACTGCAGCTTCATCCTCAATAATATAGTACAATGGATCGTACTGGCATAGACGTTCCTGAAACAGTTCCGGGCCCGGGAAGCTGGGCTGGGTGCCACGTTGGCCAACAGCATGGGCTGCACAAATATTAGCAGCACTGATGTGACTCTCACGCATCAAATTGGGATAGATTGATATATGATAAGCCAAGCTGCCCAGAAAAGCATCGGACGCACCGGAAGTATCCGCCAAACAGCGGACACGCGGTGCGGGAACATAGGTGCACAAATCCGGTTCACTTCTTGACATGTAAACGGCACCCCTATCGCCCATGGTAATGATCACACTATTGGCACCCATCTCAATCAGATCAGTAGCCGCTGCTTTGGCATCCTGCAATGTATCGATCTGCTCACGACTGGTTAGCTGCCCCGCCTCTAATCTATTACAGCATAGAATCGTTGGTGCTTTGATTAGTTCCAAATTCATGTTTGGGTGGGCTGGCGAGACATTTAATATAGAAACACCCTTGAATTGATGTAACGCAAAGAGGACAATCCTCTCGTCTGTTTCCAGTTGGCAAAGTAGAACTTTAGCATGCCTGAACAATTTTCTGGCGCTCAAAACATCGGTGCACTTTAGCATCATATTCGCGCCAGATAGTACAATGTTCATATTTCGGGCATTTTCAGCAACATTGATCTCAGTCAGGCCAGTTGACTGGCCATCAACTATTTCAACATGATCTACATTGATTTCCAATTCTTTCAAGTATTCTAAGTATTGTGCGCCTAACTTATCGTTGCCCAGTTTTGAGATTAGAGCGCATCTGGCACCCAATTTTGCAGCAGCCACACACTGATTAGCCCCCTTGCCCCCATAACAACACTCACGATGCACGGCAAAAACAGTTTCTCCCGATCTGGGCAGTTCATTGACATAGCTGCATGAATTCGGAATACTTGCTATAGTTTGAACAAGGATTTGTATTGAGGCGAGCTTACGTAATATAATCAATATTTGATGAACCAAAGACCAAGACATCTAGCTCCATTTCATCTTTTTTTGTGCATACATGGGGACAGGGTGTTTAAAAAACGTACTGACTACAAATTTAAAAATGAATGACTTAAAACTCATTTGTTGAGGTTCATACATATTACTTATAAATCAGTAAATCAGATAAGCGAAATTCCGATTACTGAGGAACAATGTTACAAATACTTCCTCTTAACCAGCATAATATACATTATAAATAAATTTAACTTCAAGTAATTGATTAGCAGTCAACTAGAGGTTGACTAAAAGGTTGATCATAATATTGGAAATGTAGTAAATGAGCAATCTGGTAGCTTTGAGTAAATATTCATTTTGAGCTAGAGAGACTTTTCTTCAGGACGATTAGGAGATACAGTTAACATACTTCTTAGCTACACTAATCAATCTTGTATACGCATACGTAAATACAATTTAAAATTTTAGACTAAAATAAAAAATATTATGCTTGACAGTGACAAAAAATTGTTCATTAAAAAGTACCCGCCACCTTCGATGGAATCTTCCCCTTCCCCTTTATCACCACTTCGTTTAGTCCTCACGACAGAACAAAACTCCAGTAATAATAATAATGAATAATATGAAAAGAGAGGAACACGTATGTTTTCTCTGAAGATGGTTTTATTAGAGAAGGTTTAAGAGAAATAAACACTGGTAATTTTGAGCGTTAATATTTTGAAATTGAATTACTACTAATTTTACTGGTGGTTGAAGTGTTTAGAATGTGAGCTCTCGATTGATGTTTTTAACATTTGATTAACATTTGAGATTTGGGCTGCTGCTTTCTTGCCTGACGCTGTCGTTGTCTTTGCCGCTGTCACCGCAGCAGGCACTGCCACTCCTGCTGACACTATCATTGCCGCTGGCGATCCCGTTGCTCTTGGGTCTGCCAATGCCGCTGGTATTTCCTCTGCCGTGGTCATTGGCTCTGGCGATGTCGTTGCTGCTGGCGTAGCTATTGGAGGTACAACTGGCGCAGGTTCAGCTGCTGCCACAGGCGCCGTTGCCGTTTTTTCAGCTGCTGCACCAGCATTTAAGTCTCTACCAGTATCGTCGTCAATAATATAGTACAATGGATCGAACTGGCATAGACGCTCCTGAAACAGTTCCGGGCCCGGGAAGCTGGGCTGAGTGCCGCGATGGCCAACAGCATAGGCGGCGCAGATATTGGCAGCAATAATGTGACTCTCTCGTATCAAATTAGGATATATCGATATGTGATAGGCTAAACTGCCTAGAAAGGCGTCGGACGCACCCGAAGTATCCGCCAAGTAGCGGACTGGCGCTGCCGGACACTGGGTGCACAAATCCGGCTCACTGCTAGACAAGTAAATGGCCCCCATATCACCCATGGTAATGATCACGCTTTTAGCACCCATCTCAATCAGATCAGTAGCCGCTGCTTTGGCATCCTGCAATGTGTCGATCTGCTCACGATTGGTTAGCTGCGCCGCCTCTAATCTGTTACAGCATAGAATCGTTGGTGCCTTGATCAGTTCTAAATTCATGTCTGGGTGTGCGGGCGAGGCGTTCAATATGGACACGCCCTTGAAATGATTTAGTGCATAGAGGACAGCCTTCTCGTCCGTTTCTAGCTGGCAAAGTAGAACCTTTGAGTGTCTGAATAGTTTTTTAGCGTTGCTGGCATCGGTGGCTTTTAGCATAAGATTTGCGCCGGATAGTACGATGTTCATATTTTGGGCATTTTCAGCAACATTGATTTCAGTCAGGCCCGTCGACTGGCCATCCATCATTTCAACGTGATCCACATTGATCTCTAATTCCTTCAGATATTCTAAGTATTCTGCGCCTAGTTTATCGTTGCCCAATTTGGAGATTAGAGCGCATCTGGCACCCAATTTGGCAGCGGCCACACACTGATTAGCCCCCTTGCCCCCATAGCAACGTTCACGGTGCATGGCAAACACGGTTTCTCCCGATCTGGGCAGGTCATTGACATAGCTACATGAATTTGGAATAGTTGCTATAGTTTGAACAAGAACTTGTATTGAGGCGAGCTTACGTAATATAATCAATATTTGATGAACCAAAGACCAAGACATCTAGCTCCATTTTGTTCTTTTTGTGCTTGCAGATGGGCGGGCTATTTGAGAATTTTATTGACTTCAATTTCAAAATGAATGACTTAAAAGTCGCTTTCAAAGATTTATACAAATTGCTCATATTATATATCAGCAAAGCAAATAAGAACAACAATTTCGAGATCTGAGGAGCAAGGTTGAGAATATCTGGTTTTAAATAACACACAACACACAATGATTAAATTAAACTTCAAACATTTGACTTGCATATACAGCCAACTATAGGCTGAATAAAAGGTTGATCATAGTATTTAAAAAATTGTTCACTGACTCATCTGGCAGCTATCGAAAAAATATATATAATCAAGATTTCATATAATGGTGTCAGCATTTAAAAAAGAAGTGGGTATAGTCTTTAGAGGTTTTCTATTATACAGACTTAAGGAGAGAATCAACATATTCTTATATGCGTAATTTTGATTAAGTAAAATTGTGAAGTTTAATTAGGGCTAATTTAACTTAGCTGTTTAATGGGCTGTTTAGAATGCGAGTTATTCTCGATTGAAATCTTGAACATATGATTAACATTTGACATTCGGGCTGACGATTTGTTGTGGAACTGTGCACCACATGCTCTGCCCTGGTCTGGTTTGGCCTGGCGTGGCCTGTCCCGCTACACTTAAGGCAGGCCCTGGGAAACGCCTGCAGTGTCTGCAGATTGCATCCATGTGCCACATCCTGAAGTAACAACAATGACGCTGACGCTGACGCAGACGCCGCGTGGGTATTGCCATCAAAAGAGCAATGCATTTGTTGATGCTCTTCAAGTAGGTAAAATCTATAAACGGGGCACATGTGCGCATCGGGCGTTGGACTTGACCTGCTAGCGGGTCGACTGCGACGCTTCATGTGGGTCTCCAATTGAGACGAGGCGAGGGCCGGCGAGATTTTGAATTTTAGAGGCACCTATATAAACGTCTGTTTACAATGCGCTTAGAGGACAGTCGCGTTTGCCAGGGCACAACGTTAACGTTACCATCTCTCTCTCTCTCGGCTTAAGTTTGGTTCCTAAATCGAAACTGCATTCGTTTGTGAGCAACGCGGATTTTGTTTTGTGTGGCACATTTCTTGGCCGGAATGTGAGCAAAACCCAAAAAAGAAAAAAAAAAAAAGATACAAATTAAACAAAAAATGTAAAGAAAAAATCGTTTAAGCGCAAAGCCAAAGCCATATACAGTGACAGAGCGGGTACTGGGGAGTGTTCGGGTCTGGCCATGTGGCGCAAAATATGCGCATAACAAAGTCCAAACAAAAAGGGCGCAATTTTATTGCGGGCGCCGCGATGCTCTATACACACATACATACACACACACAAAAACAACAAACAGCTGGAAAAAAGTTTATGAATTTTTTGTGCAGGCGCGTGAAAAATGTAACACAACAAAAAAAAATGTAAAGAGTAAAGTAAAAACAAAAGCAGATACTACGCGAATGCGAGCTGTATTCAAGTTGTACTCCGAAAGCCATGCCCCCTTCTCCCATACCGCCCAGTCACATATAAACACACTTCAGTGCGCTTAAAAATTGCTTTATTGCAGTTGGACTATAAAAACGCACGGCAAAAGTATTAAGCACAATCCCCCTTTCCAAAAAAAAGTATAAAATAATAATAAAATAAAAATAAAAGTAAAAACCAGTAAAGCCAGCGAGAAACAGGAAAATTTGCAAGCCACAGCCGGAGCGCAAGAAGCACAAGGATGCCAAGGATTTACTTCTAAAACAGAAATAAAATCAAAAACAAAAAAGAAAACGCAGCAAAATACCAACTGAATAGTTGGATATGAATTGCCCCGCAAATTGCAGTTAGAGTATTGTGTAAAATGTTTTGTTGCATTACATTCAGCATTGTCCTTATTTAAGGGAAAAACAGACGGACTAAAGTGGAAGCTAAATCACACAGTAAGTAACATTAAATCCAAGAGTGTATGGCCCACAAATGGGTCTTAAATTGTTCATTGGGCCTTTGAGAGTTCCATGCTTCCTTGCATTCAATAGTATTTATATAAGCATATGGAATGTAAAGAAGTATGGAGCGAAATCTGGCGAAGCATCATATCAAACTTTGTGAAATTAAGGAAACAGAAAAAAATATGTATAAAATTTATAAAACTTTGCTTAAAAGATAAATAAAAATATTTGTAAATAAGAAAATAAAATATTAGTATAAAAAAGAGTAAAAAATCTGTAAGTCTAAATAAATGTTTGTTGTTTATTATTTATATAATATGTTAACACAATTATAAATAATTTTATAATAGGTTAAATATCATTATTCAAGGCTAAAATATATTTAAAAATTTTAATTGTTTTTTTTTTTTAATTTTACATATTCATATTTTTTCTTATCCATAAATAGAATTCCATTTGATCTCTTTGTCTAGTTTATATGTAGATTTTCTATATTTTAAAAAAATTCTCGGTACGTCAACATTTTGAGTATCCTTTAACCAAGGCCAACAGCGAAAAAGCCAAATACCAATAATATCTACCAAATTGTAGCACTTATATTTGCCCATGGAATGACTCATGTTAAAAATAGCAAACGAGCAGCAAACATTTTGAAATATGTGAAAAAATATTTGTGTATATCTAAGTAAATATATATGTTCATAAATATGTATATGTGTACATGTAAGTGTGGGTGTTGCTGTAGCTGTATTTTGCCGCGTATCGCATTTCGTTGTATCTATTGAAAATGTTGTTAAAAATAAATTCAAGTGGACGAATCATTTGTGGAGCATGGCAACAGAACTGTTTGCTGTTTAGTTAAGTTTGCTGCACATATTACATAAATAGTGAGTAGGTGGGTGAGTTTTATCCAGGGCTTTTATGGCTTTGCGGGCGCGAGCCAGTTCGAATTGCAGTTAAGCACAGGACAACTAAGCCCCAAACATGTGCAGCAAAGTGGATTTAGCCAGCTGAAATTATCGCTGGGTGCCGCTGGCTAAGGGCTATGTGGCGCATGTGACGCCATCCACAGGAGTCGGTGGCT